GTCCCTGGGGAAGGGCAGCAGCCAAACCCACCGCTCCCAGCCCTGCTCTCTTCCCGCAGTGGTCCGGTGCCCCAAGCCCGTGGTCGAGAGGGGAAGGATGACTCCGCAGAGGTTTACGTTTCCCTATGGGACGGCTGTGAGGTTCTCCTGTGATGAAGGCTTCAAGCTGCGCGGTGATGCTGAGAGCCGGTGCCTGGCCGATGGTGCCTGGCACCCTCCCCTGCCCACTTGCCAGCCAGGTGGGTACAATTTTTCTTGCCAGTCCTGTGTAAAGGAGGCTCAGGAGACGCCATCGTTACTGACTTTCTCTTCAGCACGTGTTCTTACTGACAAATGTCATTCTGCAGACTCTTGCATAGGAATTGAGATGTCAGAAAACAGCAAATGCGTAACACCTCTCGGGGGCTCTTCTGACCTTCACCCTTCCCTCTTGAAGGGCCTGGGGAAGGAACTTTGCTTTAATGCTTGATTTCACAGCTCCGCAGATTTAAGTTCACCTGCACTGACTCAGCCTTCACTGTCTTTGTAGGGTGTTTTCCACCTCCGTAACGATGATCCTCTTGCTGAGCTGCCTTCTGCTGTGGGTTTTCCTTTCAGTTCTGTGTCCGCAACCGCAAGTGGCCAACGGAAGACTAAAAAGCCCTTCGGGTGGTAAGACGTGGTACCAAACAAATGAGACTGTTACCTTCGAATGCCTTCATGGATACCACTTTTCAGCCGATGGAAGCGTGTCTTCAGAAGGCTCTCAGACAGCCACGTGCTTGCCTGATGGCAACTGGACACTGCTGCCCAAGTGTGTGAGTACCACAGCCGGGCTGAGCTCCTGGATGGAGGCTGCTTGATTGCCAATATGAAAAATAACTGCTTGACCTTCTTAAAGGCTTTTGGTTTATGGTACCAAAGGGGGGTGCAGACTGCATTGGGGCAGCGCACGGCAAGCGGGACCGAAGCTCAGGAGTGGGTGGCTCTCCATCGGCTGCAGTGCAATCTCACGTGCTTTTTTCTGGCTTGTGTTTGTTTTGGTTTACTTTTTAACAGAAGGGAGAAGGTGACGCTGATGTATGCGAAGAGATTCACGATATCAAAACTGTCTTTGACTGCGGTGTGCCTATAGAAGAACTGAAAACTCTGCTGGAAATACAAAAACTCTTTCTGGAGATTAAAAAACTAAAGGTAGAACTAGGACACTTGAACGAGGGAGTCATCTAACGATCACTGTTGGTGAACATGCAGCTCATGTGGTCACAGCACCTATAAGGCGGCTCTCGGTGACTTTATGGTTCATGCTTGCATGCACGTAGCCAGAGAAATAATAACCAATGTACGGGGGACTGCTTTGGCCTTGCTGGATGCTAGAGCACAGAGGGGGGTTTGCTCTTTTCCTTGAGTCTGACAAGCTTGATTTGCTACTGAACAAATGTGTTCTTTCACGTTTTATTTTAGGAAGCATAGGAAGTGGGTCAGGTTGGAGGGGGCTCAGCACCCTGATCCAGGTAAAGGTGTCCCTGCTCACTGCGGGGCGTTGGGCTAGATGGCCTCTAAAGGTTCCTCCCAACCCAAAGTATTCTGTGATTAAATTGAGCTTCTTTGAGTCACTGCCTAAACTGTGCTAAGCCAAGAGAAGGGGGACTGCAGTCCACACAAGTAAATTCCAGCTGAGATGAGTGCCTGGCTCTCTGGAGGTGCCTCTGCTGTCATCCTCCAGTGGCTTGTGCAGGGCTGCGTCCTCTGCCTGTACCGAACTCACCCTGCTACAGCATTAGCACACTTCTATCTAGAAACAGGAGTGAAGAGAGCATTTAACTATGCCGTTTCCTCTTAATCTGGCTTGTGATTTCTATTCATCTGGTTAAGGGCAGTTACATATAAGAAGTGCATTTGTAAAGGCTTCTATTCCCTTATCCCTGGACTTAAAACAGGCGACAGGCAGCATGCTCGACAGAGATCTGTGGTGGTGTTATCTTCCATGTGCCTATTTCCAGCAAGCAAATGCTAAGAATAGGTGTAAGTTTAAGTGTAGAGAATCAGACAGTAACGATTGCTCTTATGACTTAATGAATGACGATCAGTTTATGTAGCTCTGTGATGCCGCAATTACTCCTTCCCTCCCGGATCGCAATAAAGATGCAAGTGTAACCATGGGTGTCTTGTAATCTGTCACACTGGCTGTAAATGAGGCAGATTTCCAGTGTGGTCCAATGGTTGTTCCGACTGAGAGCCGAGCCCTGGCAGCCCGGGTCGGTGCTCGGGGAGCCGCAGCAGGCACGGCACGGCGAGCGGCCACGGGGCTGGGGAGCAATCCTCTCCTGCACAAGCAGCTTACGGCGCTGTACCATTGCCGGACACGTGCTTTTGGGAGTTACTAGAGTTACTTTAAATCTTACTAGAGCCTCACCCCTAGGGGAAGAGGTGGTGTCTCCCATCTTTACACAGAAAGATGCTTTGATGAGGCAGCCTGTGCTTCACCGCGTCCTGGTGAGGAGCTCCCAGACCCACGCTGGGTCTCCCTGCGCCGCAAGGGCTGCACCCCCCTGGTGTGACACCTCGCTCTCCTCCGCCTTGTGCGCACCCGGGACTGCAAACGAAGTGTCTCGCCTCCCTGTGCGAGGCTTGAAACCCATCAGCATTAAGAAGAAGAATTGGGTGTTATGTCCCCTGTGTATCTAAGGCTGTGTTTGGGTGGTCTCGACTTGTCAGATGGGATCTTTCAGAGCATTAGTCAGTGCGCAGATGTATTCGCTCACACCCGTTCCTAATTGCCAATGAGTCAGACCATCAAGGAAAAAATTAACAAACAAAAAGGATAACGCTTTTGGGTTTTGTTTGACTGACTCTGCTTATGGAAGATCTGTGTTGCGTTACCTGCCAGCAAATTATTAAGTAGGCATTTCCCTACCCTGGGGCTGAGGGGGATGGGGGGGGCGTCTTTTCTGCTCTGGTGAGATTTGGTTTTGGTAAATCTGTGCTAGTCAGTGCTCACTGCCAATCTCAGGTGAAATGAAAAGGGTTGAGTTATTCCCCCATCCCTTACACTGGGGCAGGGGGCTTTACCCAAGCCCATGGATGACAGTTGTCCCCCACCCCTGGCTGCTCTCTGTGTTCCTGATCCATGGGTGTTTCCCAAGCTCCAGAGGCTTGGCTGAGTCTGCTGCATCTCCTCCCAGCTTCAGTAACAGCTCCTTGGAGCCGACAGCTCTTGACAGACGAGCTCAGAAATTGCTGCAATGAAGTCTGGAGAACCAGGATGGGGGAAACACCCAAGCACCCTGAGCTGTGGAGCACCCGCTGGGGCATGGGTGTCTGGGCACCCCACACTGCTCCTGGCCTTGCTGATGCTCCTAGGCATGCCGGTGGCTCGCGGTGAGTACAGGGATGTGGGATGTGTGGGGAGCACCAGTGAGACCTGCCCAGGTCCCACCATGCTGCTTAGGGGTTGGAGAAGGCGATGCCACCATCCCCAAGCCTGGGGACCCATTGCTTGATGCTCTCACGGATGCAGCCCTGCCTGGTGCCTTTGCCCAGAGGGGAAGCCTGGGCCCACCCAGCTGCAGTGCTGGGATGCTCGCTGAGGCTGGGGAAGGGGCCAGGGAATGGGGTCCTCACCCGAGGAGGTCTTCTCCTGCTGCAGGTGACTGTGGGCCCCCACCTCGCATGAACTACTCCAGACCATCCAGCGACGAGCACGCCAGCAGCTTCCCTGTCGGATCCCGGGTGACATACACGTGCCTCAAAGGCGCCATCAAGATCCCCTGGATGTCGGACACGATGGAGTGCCTGCCCGGCGCGCGCTGGTCGAAGCTGCCCGAGCCCTGCGGCCGTAAATACCTCCTGTCTCTGAAAGGCGGCCCCTTCGCCTCTCTCTCGCTTGGCTTAGCGTTCCTGCCACCGCGGCTGCTCCGCAATGCCACCACCCACCCTGGCAAGGTGCAAACCTGCTTCCCTTAGCTGCTCTTCGTCGGAGCTGCTGATGGGTGCAGGGTCCGTGCCTGCCGCTGAGGGGGGGTCAGCCCAGGGTGCTCGCATGCCCCCCGAGCCCGGGCGGGCAGAGGCTGCGCAAGCGGCTGCAGCGTGCGCTGCCCCCCCAGCACACACGCGTGCCTCCTTATTTCAAGGCCAGGTTGGAGGGGGCTCTGAGCAACCTGATCTGGTTAAAGACGTCCCTGCTCACTTCAGGGGGGGTGGGCTAGATGGCCTTTAAAGGTCCCCTCCAACCCAAAGCATTCTATGATTCTAACAGCTTTGCCTGTGCGCTTAATGCATCCTCATCCGCGCTTTGCACAAGGTGCATTCAGCAGAGCAGCAGCCTGGGATGAAAGCAGAATTAACCTGCGATGAACGCAAGGAGCTTTCCCAAAGCACCGCCGTGAGAGCATTTCGGTGATCCCCAGGTTTATTTTGCATGCCTCCTGTCGGGGTGGCTCTTTCAGGCTCGCTTTCCTTGACTGCCAGGGAGCTGTGCTGCCCCGACAAGGTTGAGGTTTGCTGTCCTGTCCGAGGCGGACGAGAGGATTAATTTCTTTCCTGTTGGGAGCAACGTGAGCTACGTCTGCCGCCCCGGCTACGAGAACACCTCGGAAAGTTCCCCCACCAGCACTTGCCTTGAAAACCTGGCGTGGTCGGATGTGGCTGAGCTCTGCAGGAGTGAGTATCTCTGCCCCGCTCCGCTTGCCGAAAGGTGGCTGTGGAGCTCGGGGCAGGTCAGGTGGCTCGTTACCATCCCAACAGCTACATGCTTCAGACAAAATTAGGTGGATATTCCTCAATATTCATACTTGAGACTGAACAGCGGGAGTATCAATAGTGTTGGGGATTTTTTTCTGCTGGCATGAGCAGATTGGTTTGGTTCTCATGTTAGGAAATATGTTTGCATCTGGACACAGCATATGCACAGGACAAATGCTCATTTGCCATCCTAGCACTGAACTTCAAAATGAAGACAAAGCACGTTTCTTGGTGAAATCCGTGTAATATTAAGCCTGATGATCTGACAGCAATACATTTTTCACAGTCGAGTAACTTATTGCCAGTCTATTGAGCTGGAGAGATCTCTGCAAATATTCTCCTCTGCCCTCCGGGGAGATGGTTACTGCCGCGGGCACGGGGCCCTTGTGGGATCCACACCTTCCCCCGCAGCTCATTCTGGCACCCGTGGGAAGTAAAACGCTTTGGTACCTTCGGGTATAACCCTCCACGTCTGTCCCTTATTTGGCCTTTTTTTATTTCCCCGTCGCGGTGTGTTGCCACTAACGCCGGCCTCGCTCTCTGGCAGGGAGGTCCTGCGGCGAGCTGGGACCGCTGCCCGGCGGCAGGATGGTCGCTCTCACGGACTTGGGGTTCGGAGCAAGAGTGAACGTGTTTTGTGAAGACGGGTGAGTCACAGGGCAACGCCCCCAGCTCCAGTACACACCAGTGCTGATGCTGGAATACAACACTGGTCCAGAGCAATGAACTTGTGGACATGGGATGGGCGGCTGTTTCACAATATATCGTTCTTATGGTGTTGCTCAGTGAGGAGCAGGGGGCTGCTTTTTCCCACTTGAACAACAGCTTTGGGCTGGAATGGAATAACGCTGGAGGGCAGGGTCTGAATTTACGGCTGCCTTTTCCTTCAAGTGTCACCTGGGGGAAGTTTAACTCCCCCGGGGCATCTATATCCCAATAGAGCCCGTTGTACCATCAGTTTATAACTCTAGACTTCAAAACAGGTTACTTAAAATATTTCAATTTAACATATTTAAGATACATTGGATAAAAAGGGGCTACGTTTGAATTTTAAAAATTCAGTGATGTCCAGCTAGAAACCGCAGCGAAGCCCGGTTTCCATCAGCCGGTGACCTGACTCACGCTCCCTGCCTGCTTTCAATCAGGGCACATATGCAGCGCACTGACTTGCAAAATTAAACTCTTAGGACTCCAGCTAGCATTCCTCCTTCCCCAGCAGGAGCTGGCTGGCATCATCCACTTGTTCTGTCAGTCCTTGCAGCTGCTTCAAATGTAACCGAGCCATTTTTCCTCCAGATGCTCCCTTAGGAAGGACTTTGGGGAAATGACAGCATACCCCACTCCTCTGGGGTTCAATTAATCTTCAGCAATATGCGTCAGGGTGGGGGATATTGTTATCCATCTAAGCAAGATCAGATACTGTCAATCGTGTCCGAATGATGAGGTTTTTTGAACAGGAGGATGTAATTCAGAGATTAGGAAAGGTGTTGGTGCTGTCAGGACAGGGTGTATTGGCTTCCAGCAAGCCAATCCAAAAGCCACTTCAGTGATGTGTAGATCCCTCTTGCCCCTCGCTGGTCCCTGCTCTATGTAGTGGACGCATTTGAGTATCTTCAGCCCAGAAGCCAACCCTACCCTGGGCTGCATCCTCCGCAGCATGGCCGGCATCAAGGGAGGGGATTCTGCCCCTCTGCTCTGCTCTGGGGAGACCTCCCCTGGAGCCCTGCGTCCAGCTCGGGAGCCCTCAGCACCAGGAGGACATGGACCTGTTGCAGCGGGGCCAGAGGAGGGCCACTAAAATGCTCCGAGGGATGGAGCCCCTCTGCTGTGAGGCCAGGCTGGGAGAGTTGGGGGTGTTCAGCCTGGAGAAGAGAAGGCTGCGGGCAGAGCTGAGTGCGGCCGGTCAGGGCTTCAAGGGGGCCCAGAGGAAAGGGGGGGACAAGCTTTTTAGTAGGGCCAGCTGGGACAGGACAAGGGGGGATGGTTTTAAACTAAACCAGGGCAAGTTTAGACTGGATCTAAGGAAGAAATTCTTTAAAATAAGGGTGGTGAAACTCTGGCAGGGGTTGCCCAGAGAGGGTGTGGAGGCCCCATCCCTGGGAACATTCCAGGCCAGGTTGGACGGGGCTGTGAGCAACCTGATGTGGTTCAAGGTGTCCCTGCTCCTGCAGGGGGGTTGGGCTGGGTGACCTCTAGGGGTCCCTTCCAACCCAAACCATTCTATGATTCTATGATCTTCCAAGACCAGCTGGAAGGTACACCA